CTATATACAGACATCCAAATCCATTTCTGGACAACTATTCTAAATGTAATAAAATCAGAATAATACTTGCGTTTTGGTGTTTACATAGTTATTTTTGGTTGCTGATGTTTTAGCCCCGGTCCAATTTAAACCCTGGTTATATGCTAATGATATATGCTAATAATGAAAAAAAAAGATGTAGGCCTATCTTTTGTGCCTCAAAAAAGAAACCCTTCCCTCCTTCCTGGATATAAATTCATTAGTCTGTAGAAAAGTGCTTTATTATGTCTGTTCCAATATAAGCTTGACACCCCCTGCCTCCACAACAAAAGACTCATTAAGAAGATGATAATTCTGTAATTGCTGAGGCCTGTAATCGCTGGTGCAAAAGGAGCCAGTCTTTATTTTGTGCAACTGAATCAGCATTGATAATCAGAAAAGTCACAAATGTAAAAGTGTACATTAAATCATTGGGGGGGGAAAGGAGATATTTTGTAGTTTTTTACTCCAGTGTAGGCAACGTTCTCAGAGAAATCCCATGATCAATTTGTAGGCTAATATAATAATAACTGAGGTTGAGATAGTGATGGTATTTTAAATCTTATATATATAAGGACAACAATTAATCAGTTCATTATTAAGTTCTTTCAACACAAATAATTCACAAAATTGTTTGTCAGTAACACACTTTTAATAGGCTCCAATGGAAAACCTGAAGATATTTTTAACTGACCGCAACATTAAATATTAAACAACATCTCCAGAACAATGCTTTGTATTGGTTTTCTGCCAGAAAATGCTCTATTAATGCATGTTTGTCTTAAATGAATTATTCAAGCATACTTTTACAGTATACTGATTATAAGCTCTTTAAAAATCCATGTGAACATAATCTAATAGAATCTTTTTTTTTTTTTGATGGATAGTACAGTACACCTTCTTCCATAAAGTACTAGTACAAACAGTGAAATAACATAATGATTTATAAAAAACAATCTATTGTAAAAGCAAAAATCATAGCAAGCTATTTGTAACAGAGTGTATTTGCATCCTCACAAAAGACAGCAGTCACTTCAGGTTAAAAAGAGGAAACTTAATTCAAAACTAACATAATTCATGCCACATACCGCATAGTTCTGTTTATGTAAAAATATAGGCTACTATGGAAACATGACGTTAAAGACAATGGCAGGTTTTGGTTTATCTGTGCATGCTTGCGCACCTTGACCATTATTGGGACCCCTGATGAACCCAATGACCTTGAGGCCAGTCAAATTATCTGCTGTTAATATATGAATATTGGAAAATAATTAATATGATGAGCAAAGTTTTAACTAATTCCCATTTTGCACAGCTGACTCTCTTCTGAATGTTAATATAACACTCTAATGCTCTCCACTCAGAGCTCATAATGAAGAGTGAAAGCATATCCGTATGACCTCTGCTGGTGTCTTTGAATAACCTTGTTCCTTATTGAGGAGTTTTACTTTCAGAAATTATATCATCCGCAGAGGCTGCAATATGTTACAGTTCAATAGGCTTACTGCTATAGATGGCTACATATGGATTATGTGTTAACCATTTACATAATATTTGTGATCTTGACATTCTGTTGAATGAAATCCCATTTCTGACACAAAAGAAAAAAATAATTATGAGATAAAAAGTCAAATTTAGGAGATACTAAGTAATTGAAATTGACATAATCATGAGAAAACGTCAAAATTATGACATCATGATGAGAAAGTCAAAATTATTAATAAAAAGTAAGAATTATGACATATAAAAGTCATAATTATGACATCGTCACATTTGAAGTAATTACATAATTATTACTTATTCTCAAATTTTGACTTTTTGTGCAATAATTATGTATTTTTATCTCAGAATTGTGACATTTTATCTCAAAATGTAGACCTTTTATCTCATCTCTCAAAGGCACAATATGTAAGATTTTTTTTATTAAAATATCCAAAAACCACTAGAACAGTGTTATATATTTTGCTGACTTGTGTAATTACATTATCCCAAATGTTTTGAAGAATGTTTAAATCCAGAGAAATAAGCAATTTTAACTAGTGTCACGGAGCGTGTCCTTAGTGTCATTGTGTCGCCTGCTATTGACGTCATAACCCCTCGATTTCCGGTTTTGTTTTGTTGAAAACATGTAAACACCAAACACGCTTTAATATGTTGTGCATTTTAATAGACCGGTGAAGCGGTCGACTGTGGCATAATAAAAGCTCTGCTGCTTTCGAGCCGTGTGTCACACTCGTTCAGCGGCCTCGTTTTGCTTCGACGTCTTTCAGCCTCACCCTGCTTCATTCTACTACGTTAATAAATCATTAGCTCATCCATGAACATGATTTCTGCCCGAGTCCCGTCGGATTGCATCGGCTGTGGGGATGAAGACGACAACTCCCATGATTCAACACTCAGTCACGCTTCATCAAACTACGCCTTTGTCTATTTGTTTATTTTGAATTCCTGCCCTCTAGCGGCGAAAATTACATATTGTGCCTTTAATTCGTGTTTTGTTGTATTTTAAACTTTAATGTCATAATGGTTACTTTTTAATCTCATAATTTTGACTTTTAATGTCATAGAAGTCTTTTTATTGTAGGCTATTCTTATGATGTCTGAAAATATAGATTTTTTTAAATCTCACATTTTTATTTTGTAATATAAACCTTTATTTTAGAATTATGCCTTTTTGTCATATTTATGACTTTTTGTCTAATAATTTAACTTTTAATTTAACTTTAATAATTTAAATGTTTTGCAAAAAAAAATGTTATAATTAGGATTTATGACATGATTTTTCCTATGTTGCGGTAATGTGCATTTTAAATAATAATAATAATAATAATAAAAACTTATGCCAAAGTGCTATTAAAACATTTATTTATTTATTTTACATGGGGGGGGGGGGGGGTAATTTAAAAATATTAAAATATAAAAACGAAATTTAAACCAGCGTTATCTTAGTATCATTAAGATGCAATTATTTTAAATCTGAAAATGCTGATGTGCAAATCTTGTCGCATCATACCCAAAAAGACTCGAGGCTGTAAAGGTGCTTCAGCTAAGTACTGAGTTACTTGAATACTTATGCAATGTACTTATTTCGTTTTTTTATTTTTAATAAATTTACAAAGTTGTGACAGTTGTGTTTTTGCTTTGTCATTATGGCGTATGGAGTGTAGATTGATGTGGAAAAAAA